TATTGTTCAGAGACACAGTCTACAAAACTCATGCTACAGCAGAATCTGACAACAGCCAAGATGAGGAGTTAATAGTTTCCTCTCTGTTGTCTGTCTGTATGTTATGTGCCCCAAAAAACCTCAGACTCCACATCCCTGAAGATAAGCTAAACACAAACCAAACTACTGACAAGCAATGGGTAGCCACAATGCACAATGAACCACCAGACATTTCCAATTCTGGATTTTCCAGGCATCCCATGATTACATTATTTGGGGTTTTTGTCTCCTTTCAAGGCAAGAACAATTTAGCTCCAGGGAACCACAGACAAGAGCGATCACAATGATTATGAATGCTTTCACTGAACAAAGAGCACTTCTTGGAAATGAGAAGGGAAACAGGAACTGGCCAGCTAGGAAATATTGCACTGATTCATGACATTGTACTCCTTGGTGGAGCAAATATATCCACCATCTACTGAGGGATGCAGAGGGCTTTCAACAACAGTTAAATTGGTTTATATCTACCTATAACCTGAGGTTGTGCCTAAGCACTCCATATCTTCTGGGTACTCTGTGGTCTGGGCACAGAACACCTAAAAGATGGGCTGAGGCTCCAGGACAACGACTACAGTTAACAACTCTCCCCTGATGCAATGCAACCCTCCACCACAAGGGAATAGCTCATTCATGGAGGAGACTGAGATTCGTTAGGACCAGTCTGGGACTATGCAATGAACTTCCACTGAAACCAAGAACAATCACAGATTTCAACATCTTCTGCTCCAAGTGCAAGGCACATTTCTTAGACCTTGCCTTCTCTAAAGTGACATGCAGATTTAAAAGAACTCCCACCACAAGAAAGCAGGCTCTAAAAGGCTTACCGTCCCTCTTCCTAGGAGGGGAAGATGAGACATTAAAACAACAATTAACAGTTGCGACTCACATTTGTTTAACATACACTGAAGGAATTCCAATGTTAGGGGGAAAGCATGGTAATAAAGAACCTGCATAGAACAGGATACTAGAAATTTGGGCCTTTCTAAGCCTTGGAGACTACCTAAGTGGATGTTCCACTATATCTATTTTCTTAACTTCCTTCTCAGAAGCCTAGAGGAGTACTGCTTCCTGGAGGTGGGTTTCTGGCTTCCTGGCTAATCTAACTGTACAGTGGAAATGGTACTTGCCCATCCCTCAGAAGTCTGGAAGACTTTTGTCTTCTATTGACTTGGATATTCAGCATAGGCTCGAGCCCCACAAGTCTCCCCACAAATGATGCCTACAGGTGTGGGGATGCTCATGATCCAGCCATACCTCACTTCTGGGAACTGGGATAACACCATATTCATTTCTGAGGAGCCACCAAATGGCTCTGATAGAGGGATGTTAGGGATAGACAGATGCAAATCAAATGGACAACAGTCAGGCTTCTCCATTTATACACAAATGTCTTGGAAGTCCAGCCAAAGGGTCCATCTGAATTGTGTGGAGCTCAATCAGAACCTCCCCCCAAAAAAACGTACATTAAGCTGCATCTAAAGAGTCCTCATAGGCTTTGTCAGGTGGTCCTTTACCCTTGTTGCTCCCACTCAAAGATCTTTAGGCAGCTTCTAAAAACTGTGGAGACAACAGACCTTTCTACTATGTGCTGACGGAATTAACTAGTGACAGCTGACTCAGACTTCCTCCCTGGACAGTCCTTGCACTAAGGGAAGGCAGCCTCTTCTTATTCTGAGAAAGAGCTAACTATTGTTCTCTTTGCTAATCCAAGCCTGCACACACTTTTGTTCCAGTGCTCTGCACCTTTGACGACAGCCATGATTTGAAGCATTTGTATGTTAGCAGGACCCTTCGACTTGGAGCTACATCAAAACAAAAAGCTTCTTAAGAGCTAGGTGCTTGCATAGGTGAGCTACTGTGCAGCAAGAAACACACATAGGTATGATTCTATTTCCTGTGGCTTGGGTGCCCCTGGCAAGGCAGAAGGGGTTTCCAAAGAGTCCCACCTGGGATAGTAAACAAATGCTAAAAATCAGCGTGTGTGTCTTTTTGGCATGTTCTTAGGTCTGCTGCTCTAGTGACCACTGCCTGCAGGCTGTGTCTGATGTTTGTATTAAGCCTGTTCTCAAATTGCTCTGTACACCACACACTGGCTCTTTCTGGCTTCCTGTAGCTGCTGCAGTTAAAAAATTCTTGAAAGTCTTCCCTTAGGCTGGTTTTAGTGTATGCTGTAGGTGCCACAGAGATGTTAGTCAGCTGTGGGGAGAGAAAGGGAGGAAGAACATCCATAAGGCCATCTTTCAGTCACCGGGTGACCCAGTGCTGTGACTCTTGCGAACCCCAGTTGTAGCACTTGCTGGAAGGACTGCCACATAAGTAATATTAACACAAAAGGGTACCAGCATCAGCAGCCTCAGAGACAGGAAGAAGTTAGCTGAAAAAAGGCACTGTTACATCCAGTATCCTGACTCAGGACGGGAATTCTGCTGTATCAGCATTGCTTGTTACCCGCCTGACAATCACTGAAAAAAAGATGGTGTTGACTGTCTGCATTAATAAGCAGCAGACAAGAGAAGATGCCTTTTCTACAGCACCTTCCTTTGGAGGACCTCAGATCACTTCTACAAATAGGACATCATTAAACTCACTCATTAGCCCCATTTTACAGAGGAGAAAAAGAAACCAAGGGAGACTGATTTGCCAAGCTTACAAAGGAAGTTTGTAGCACAGCCAGGAAATAAAACCTCATCCTCCTCATTAAGTACAGACTTCTCACCATGACTGGCTTGGCAACAGTTTTGGATCACTGAATATCTGGACTTCATTTGTAGTAACAACAAAGTAGTCCCCAGACACCTGTGACATTCAGTCACTCATACTTGGTATAATAGTCACAAAAAGGGCATGCTTCCTTTGTACACAAACAGCCCATCAAAGGAAGTTTCATGCCTCAACTGTCTATTATGTATCCTTGAAGTGCAATTCTGTACAGTTTTGTACAGTTGTAGGTGACCCCTTTGGCTATTATGCCAGACTGCTGGGTTATTTTTAAATGCTCCATTGCCACCATGCTTTTATGTACAACATCCAGTAGATATTTGTATCAGTCTATGTGATTGGTAGATGTCTGATCTACTGATAAAAATTAAATGTGTGAAGGCATTGGGGTGCATGGATTTATATGAGAACTCTTCACCTCTGGCCAGGTCCATGTTAGGAGTGTTTCACTGATTGGGCTAGGCTGGCAAAATGATTTGGGTGTGAACACAGATTACACCAGCAAAACTGTGCTTCCAGCCTCCTGCCCCACTGCCTGTTCCCCTCCACAGCCCTATGGAAACAAACTATGCAAGCAAAAAAGCCCAGTTTTGCAAATATAGCAGCACCTAATCAGGGGCCTTTGCAGGCAGGGTCACATTGAATGCAGATTACATTACATTATACCCAACCAATATATCCACACTGGCAAATGCTTGTATTATAAACATGGCCTAAACAGTAGCATTCTCCACCAGGTCAGTCAGACTTTTTCCCATAGTTGGTAAGAACAGGAAGGTTTCTGCTGACCAAACAATGCCCTCCATTTACACCGGTGCAAACCTCATTCTTTCAATTATGGCCACAATAGCATCTTTGAAAACTCAAGCATGTCCAGCTACAGCTGACTGTAACTGAGCAAATAATTCTGTTGATGCAGTAGATGGGAGAAGAACATTTCTGTGTTATGATGGTTTTGCAGGGGTAATGACAGCAAAAGCTTTGTGATCAAAGTGAGCAGAGGGAAGGATGAATATACACACGGAACAGATCTGTTGAGAAGAAGGTGTCTTCTTATAAAACAGTGTTCAGCACAGAAATACACTTCAGAGGTGTCAGGGACTAAAAAAAAATGTCAAAAGGATTTGTCTTGTTGAAAGAAATTTGGTCTTGAAATAAAGATTTTGGAAATCATTCCCAGCGTACACACAGCACATCATTTTCCATGCCATTTTTAACCACACATTGCAATGAACAGCTCTAGCAATATGTTGGAGTCAGCATGCTCAGTGCTGGAGCACCACATGCTGAAATAACAAGAATTGGGCTTGATGTGCCAGTGTGTTACAGCATTGTGAAGCTGGAGTAACACAGCAGTGGATAAGGCCCAGCTGTCTTCCTTTTTGATTTAATATAACTGTACAAAATAAGGTTATAAACGATGCTGCTTCTATTTCAATGTGCAATCGGCTAATGAACAAAGGTGCAGCATTCCAGCCACATGCACACTCACTAGAACTCTGTTCATCTCACACCAGACATTGAAAAGAGCACAATGTTCTCTTCAATCCTCCTTTTCATTCCCCCCAAAATAAAGATGAATGGAAGCTTATGGCAAAAATACAATGACAGATGCTAATCCTGCAAAGACTTGCACACATTCTTACTTTATGCACTGCAAAAGCCTTGCTGGATTCAAAAGCACTATTCACAGCACATGAAGTTAAACACGTGTAAGTCTGTAGAATCAGGGCTTCACTGCATATTATTATGCCCAATAATTTAATCTCCCACAAGGCAGGCAAAACCTTGATGTGCAGGTACACACTCAGATATGGAAGTTACTTCACCTGAGAATCTGGTTACCTTCTAACTGTAGCTGAAGATAACTGTCAAAAAGAAAATAGGATATTTAATGTTCAGAGATAACTCAGCAGAACCACTGTAGGTACTGCCATATAATGAGCCTTTTATCTAAGTAACACTTTTTAAAACAAAAGTGCTTTGCCTACATTATATATTGACAATCCTCTAACGTATCAAAAATATATTTATCCAATATTGTTTTATTAATATTTTTAAAAAATAATCTTAGATCTGTTTTTTTCAAAAATGGACATGGTTATGAATTGTAACCAATATGCAGCTCCAATGGGTTAATTCAAATCTCATTGCCTTTAATGGGCTTTAGATTATGTAGCAAACACTAGAATTCAGCAGCAAATTCCCCACGCAACATCAGATTATGACAAGACACAAGAGGCTAAAAATGGCTCATCATAATTTATTTTATGTTAAAATGTACAGCTTGTTTTTTGTTTTTTTTAAGTGACTGACTAAAAAGATAACAGATAAATACAAGAGTGTCACTGGGTCCTATTTTATACATGTATCAAGCCTCTTCTGCTCGGCCCTTACAGTCACTCTGTACAGGTACAAAGGCTACAAAAAAGGAAGCAATATAAACAGACACAAATAACTTTTGCCTTTTTACATGCGATCTGTAAGCTTAGTTAGAGCTATTCACACGCTACTGCTCTATTTTTTCCTTAAAAAATAACTCCAATATTTTATAAAGATAGAAAAATCTACAGATGGAATGAAAATGTAAAGTTAGAGGCATTTCCATAAAATAGCAACTTTACACCAAATTCACTATTTTTTTTTAAATTCTGCCAAGTATTTGGACATATATGAAAATGTTTCAAAACTTAACAAATAAACACTGAGATATGCTTCAGTCAACAAAAATCTGCATTTATAAAACAGAAAGCTGCCTTTTTCCCCACCTCACCCAAAGAAAATGGAAAAGAGTCTCAACTTTACACCAAACATTTAGCAATAAAACCCCTTGAACTAAACAAAATGTGAATAGCTTTTACTGCTTTTTATTTTTACAAGTTTTATAATTAACAAAAATATAGTTCTGTTTTTTTACCCTTCAACTAGGGTAACCTAATCAAGGCAAAAAACTTAAGAAATGGCTTACTGTTAAGCACAACACTTGTACAGTACTACAAAATGCACTGTCACTAACAAAGACATTAGCGGCATGCGGAAGTGTCACCTTAAGAAACAAAATAATACAATAAATGAAATGCTAAAAGGCATTTACATGTGGGGGAAAGGAGAGAGAAAGCTCAGGGTCCAGTACTAAGTCTGATAGTTTTGGAGTCTATTTATCCACATTTTAATGGGAGCAGGCACATAAAATGGCTCTGAACCATCAGCGGCTGTGTAATTGCAGTTCATAGAAAGAGTTGTTCCTTTCCAGATAACTTCGATTAAAAATAAAAAAGCCCAATCCCACCCCCAAAAAAACAAAAAAATCAAACAAAAACCCAAAACAAAATAAAAACAATAACAAAAAATAAAAAATAATAAAGGAGGTACAAAAAGGAAAATAAAAATAAAAAAGAAAAAGTTGTATAAGGCTTTCTGCTGCATACAGCTTTTAAATGGTGCCAACAAATGTTTTTGCATTCACACCAATTGCTGGTTTTGAAATCGTACTCTCCAAAAGATATCTGTGCAGATCAATCCAATATGCCAGTTCGGTTATCCATCTCTCCACAGAGCCTACCTTCTCATGTAGGATCCATTGAGAGACTGCTTAGACATGCCAGTATTCATGTAGCCATGATGTCCTGGAGGAGTGTACATCATGTTACTATGGGGTGTTGTCTGCATTGGTTGCTGTGCATATGGCTGAGTTCCCATCATTCCCATTTGCATCTGCATAGGGTACTGGGGTGTTTGATTCATGTACCCATGATTACTATGATATCCACTGTTCATCATGGGCTGAGACATACTGTATCCGTTCATAGCATTTAGAGTGTTCATATTCATGTTCACTGAATTAACATTATAAGCAGGGGCTGGCATCAGGTTTACACTCATATTCATACCACGCTGCATTGTTAAGGTCCGTGCTGGTCCTTGCATGGCCACAGTCTGTGAAGCACGCCCATAGATTTGTGGCTGATGGGCTGTGGCGGCTGGTGGTAGAGGTGTAGATTTGGTTCTCACAGACACGTGGCCTTTGCCAGCCATCTGCGTTTGCAGTCTTTGGGTATGGGATATTCCAATATTTGATGCAGCCATGTTACGCTGCAAAAGGGGCGGTGGCAAATTCATGGGAGGAGGAGTAAGGTTAGGGGGTGGGGTCATAGTAGCCTGCGCTTGGGGTCCCCCAGGAACAGCGTGTGGAGACTGAGAAAGCTGAACAAGCCCTGTGTTACTTAAGGGCGTGGACAAAGAGGCACTGTTTGCATAGGAAGTTACAGCAGCTGAATGACTGTAAGGCAATGAATGATCCATTAGTGTGTTAGTTAACTGTTGTAGTTTGGCAAGGCTGAAGGTGGCAGATGGCTGTGGGTAGTGCCCTGCTCCAAATTCACTCTGACCCATCCTTTCATACAAGCCAATGTTGGCACTGCCAGTCTCTGGAATTTCAGTTAACTGCATAGGTGGTGTGAAATTAGCAGCCATGCTGCACTGAGATAACTGCTGGTTGCTGCTTGGGGGCCTTTCAACAATACAACCTTGAGGAGATTTTACGTTACATGTAGGCGGAGAGCTGATGTTGGTTTGTTGCATCATACTGCAGCTTCCATTAATATTAGACATTTGCTGGGTCACTGCACAACTACTCTGTGTTAGGTTGCTAGATGTAAGGTTACTGTATGAGCAACTGTTCTGTGAAGAGTTGTTTCCACAGATACTACTACCCATTGTAGAATCATAACTGCTTGGGTTTTCATAGTTTTCTGTTGTGCTCTCAATGCTACCTAGATCACTAAATCCGCTGTCTACAACTTGCTGTGAGTGATCAGAAACTGATGGAACATCCATCATTGGGCTTGTTTCCATATTTTGTAATGAGGGTACAGAGATGGCACTTTGATCTGGGCTAATTTGCGCATAACTGTTCTCCAATGGAGCAACATTTGGACTATTGACAGAACGAACTGACTGGCTAGGATGGGAATGGACAGATGAGACTGGGCTGCTGTGGTCAGACTGTTGGCAATCATCCAATGTGGTCATTTGTGGACTTTGGTCAGTATGGGTATAGTTCTGCAAGCTCCTACATGCTTCTTGTGTCTCTGCACAGTCCTGAAATGCATCTTCCTGTTCACTTGCTTCTTGCGTTAGAGACTGAACTGCTTGTACTGTCTCTGAATCAATCTCCATAGTTTCAGTATTTTCTTCTTTGAAACCAGAATTTAATTCTTCGCTGTCCTTTTGGTCCTGGTTATTATCGGTATGATCATCATCAGATTCAGGCACAGGCTCTGGATCTGCAGTAAGCTCCTTGTGGTTACCTTCACAGTTGGCTGCAAGGTCAACACCACAGTCCATTAAGTCCTCCTGGTTTGAATTACTAGTTTGAACATTTACATCTAAAAAAGACTCCTGATTCTCTAGCATTTCTTTGAAGGCTTCCCCTGGTAACTCCTCTTTCTCCACTTCGGTGGAACCCATGTGGCTATCATCTTCATCATCTGCATCATGATCCTCATTGTGAGAGGGCTCCTCCTCTTCCTCCTCTTCCTCCTCACGATCATCCAACTGCTCAGACTCTTCTTTCTGTATTAATGTTTCTTCTAGTTGGTCTTTCTCTTGATCTTTTGCACTGACCTTTTCTTCTTCTTCTTCCACATTCTTGTCCTCTTCCTCTACTTTCATATCCTCATTCTCCATCTTTTCAACAGGCTCACTAGGTGGATTCGGAGGCTCGGGTTCTGGCTCTGTCAACACATCCTGAGGCTGAGTGACCTTAACAAGCTCTTTATTCTCCTCTTCTGCAACAGGAGGAACTTGGCAGAGTTTGTCTTCAGCCTCTTCTTTTTGTTCCTCTACTGTAACTTGGTAGTCAGGCTCCATCGGAGTCTCAGGGGGAGTGTACAAATTAAGTTTAAAACCAGGCTTTCTTTCTTTGTTTTGCCTCCATTTAGATGGACCACGCTTCACTCCTTTGGGCCAGCCCTGTTTGCACCTCAAGGGTTCAGGATTGTCTTTAGTGCTTTCTTCCAAAACAGCTGCATCCTCCATGTTGTCTTTAGTAAGCAGAGAACAGAGAAAAAGAAAAAAAAAGAGTCTTAGCTTGCATAAACCAATCCTTAACCTACGCAACAGGTAAATGCAAAGTTAATCTACAAACTCGATATACTTTCACATTAAAAACTTCATGCATAAAAAATGCTAAACTGATAACGAACAGGTACCTTCAATCTAACCATATTTGGTATACAGACACACAGCTTCCTACTCTGAGATAAAACACAAGAATATTTTATGTATCAGAATATACCAGGTGTAATAAATCAAGTTCAATACCTGATCTGCAGCTTTCTAACAGTCAGCCTCATAATCACCATATATACATTAAAAATCCCATTTGTTATTTCTTGAAAGTGTTTTCAACAAACATTGTTAAACTACTGCAAACATTCTGTATAAACCTTTGATTGCTAACAAGTGTTTCCTCACTCTATGGCACTTATAACACAGACAAATTTAATCAAGAGATAATTTGTAGAGTAAAATTGAAAACCACAAAATTTGCAAAGCTTACTTCTACAACTTGCAAAAAAACTAACTTCACTGTGAGTTTACGCAAACATCCACCCTTCTATACAGTAACATGTTCCTATAGAAAAGGGATACCATTTCTCATTATATAGAGGTGGAACACAAACTACGCCCTTCCTTCTTTTGTTATTACTAATGATGCAGCTGATAGATATACAAAAGTCCTCAAAAACTAGATAATAACAGAGGTTGAACATTAAATGTACATTATAGCTCCAATACTGAAAAGGGAAAATTTTTCTTTTCCTCTGAGAAGGTCTTTCAGTATAAATCTACACAAGAGATTACAGGCCAAAACATATTCTGAAATAGAATTAAAAAAAAATGAAGTATACAAAGAAAATGCAAGTTAATTCAATCCATGACAAACACTGAGGGGGCAAAAAAAGACAAAGAAAAAAAAAGGACAAACGTGTATTGGTAAATGTATGTGGGTGTCTTTAAAAGCCTGTTTAGGAAAAGCATTATACTTTTGTGTTCTCCTGTGAAAAAGGTTCCCTCTCAACATCCTAACAGCTGGCTAATGTGAAAAAGTGACTCAGGAAAATGCTATATGTATAGTTAAAAGAATATAACCTTACTACCAGGGGTGCAGTTCCATCAGTATAAATGTGAAATGCTATATTCTGGAGGGAGAAAACATACTGCACTAGTGAACTAATGTAAGTGTATTCACACTAGGAACTGTACTGCTTAAATGTATTGCTAGTATGTTACAACCCTAAGCAGCTTGCCAATAAAAAAAATAGGCTGTACCAGGCACTGACAGATTAACTCTTAGCTGGGCACCAGAAAACGAAACTTCCTGCCACATCCTCTAAACTATTAATTCTCAGGACACCAAAGAGACACCAGCAGCTTCTAAAGATAAGGAGCGTGATGCAGCAATCCACAACTCATTCAGGATTTGGAATTAAACTCAAATTTTCACTTAAGAGTTCAGAGAATAAGAAGTCTCCCAGAACTGCTCATTAGTGGATTCACTAAACGTTTCTAAGCTTTCCCACCAGGAAATGTTCTTGAAACAGAGCTGGATGAGCAGCTTTGAACAAGCATGTTAAATAAATGGTTCTGAAGATTTTAGGGAAATGCAGCATCTTTAGAGCCAAAACATCTTGGTATAAATCAATCTAAGAGCCTAGGAAGTTGGCACCAGTTCCCATGCTTGAACAATCCTGAGTTATTTTGAAAGATGGGAAGGGCAGTTTCTGAGTGCTTGTCAAGGAAGTAAACGTGGTCGCCAAGATTCCTAATATAGAAATTCAGAACTGACAAGTCCAAGTGAAGAGGACATACCGTTCCTAGGGCACAAGGCAAATTTCAATAGTTCTTATAAATACATTAATAAAATGCAGAAAAAAAAGAGAAGAGCTGTATGAATTACAGATCTTCTTTCTGTTGGCAAAGAATACAGGAAAGAGAACACAGAGAGCAAGCAGCCACCAGTATTTCCCTGACAAGAAGGGGATGAGCCTTTTGTGTCATGCCCCACTCTACTTCCCCATGTCGCCGCAATGACCAGGGCTGAAATGTCCCAAACTGAAATAAAACCTGATAGTTTTGTCTTAAATGGGGATTAATCTACTGAATGAGAAGAATAAGATAAGCCCCTTCTCCACATGCAGGTAAAGGTGTGATAGGATTTAATGCATGCCATGGCATTGCAGGAGGTGTGATTGTGTGGATCCCACATTAGAACGAATTGTGCCTTATTGCCAGTGTAGGGGGAGCCCGATCCTGGATTTCCCCTGCATCTGAAAGAAGCAGGCACCTACGCCTGGAAGCCCCTGAGCTGAGGGACTTCCAGCTGCAGAGGCTACATTCAGCCTGGAACCTGAGACGCAGCAGCTCATGTGAGACGCAGCTGGGATCAAGAGCCCTACAAGCTGCAGGATTCTCAGTCCCAGATGCGGGCGAGGTGCAGTTAGGACTCAGAGCCCTGTGTGGGCCCAGGGGTTTCATGAACCCCCAAACCTTTGGGAATCATGGCAGCCATGATCCCCAGGACTCACTCAGGGGTCGTAACCCTGTGGCTGGGAGCCGTCAGCCGCCAGGCTCCCAACCGAAGGGAAGACCCTGCTACATGTGCAGATTAAAGCTTGATGGCAACCAGCTATAAAGATAGTACAACATTTTAAGGTCTAACTTTATAGCTGGTTGGCGCTTTTTATTGTGCAATAGCTACTTTGCTCCTATAGCTGGTCTCAAGGTAACTGCACAATTAACCAGTTAATTGCATGATGTGTGTAATGTGTAGAGGGACTCATGGGGACAGCAAGGAAAAAAAGTGTTACATTTGTGGTGGGAGGCGTGGGGGAGGACACAAGGGTGTGGCTAGGGGTGGAAAGATTGTGGTATAATGCTTCAAATTGTGGTATAATGCCAATAGATCGGGTGGGACTAACAGCATGAACACCATCTCAGAGGGATGGAACACTACTAAAAATCCATGTTAATTTGATCTTGAAATACAAACATTTAAAAAGCTCTGTAAAACTAGTCACAAGCCTGCAAGGGTTATTACTAAAAGACAAAAGATTGTCCCGAGGGGCAAAGTGACATGTTCATTTAAACCTACATGCAAAACAGTTTTCTACGTACTTTTACACAGATCATCATCGTTACAATCATGGCTCTCTTTGTCCTCCTTGTCCTGCTCTTCCTCTTCATCCTGTTTCTGCCTACCAGGATGGTACTGGAACACTTTTCTAATGGCAGGTTTTAACTCATCATCTTCTCCATCTATCTCACAAGTAGGTTCCAGCTGTGGCATTGGCCGCTCTTCATCAGAGTTATCAAATGGCTCATTCAACACCTCTGTAGTTTCAGAAATTGTCTCTGTTGTAACACTGCTATTAATCCTTCTGCGTTTGCGGCCCCTTTTCTTTTTTAATATGAAAGGTCTCTGAAAAATAATTCCGAAAATGTAATGAACTAAAGTAAGAATAAAGAAGGAGCTAGTTGGCCAAGTACATACAGAATGACTGAACTTTTGTGAAGTGAGTTTCTGGTAGACTAATATATTTATAAATTCAAAAGTTCACTTATGTTACTTGTAAAGTTAGTTTTGACTGTTTCCACAGAATCCAAACAATTAAGAAATACTACATAAGACATCAGGCACCTCATTTTTCTCCCTCTTTTTTTTCTACAAGTAAAAATTAAGAACAAAAATTACTATCTATATTTTATGGTGGGTTTCAGCTTTTATTCTTGCTCAATAAAATTCACAGCAGCAGAACATAAAATATTTACACAGATGAACACCTGGTTGCATGCTTATAATTCCATTCATAATTTCACTAATATCATTTACAGGAAGCAAATGTATAGCTTATGCTTTTAGACTTCAGGGTCCTGGAAAATTAAGAAGCAATATATCCATAAGTAAGCAAGCATAAAATGGTAGACTATTAAATAGCTAGGAAAAAATAGTGCATATCACAAGCTTCACGTAAGTACTCACAATACACTAAAGAATGTGTGTTCTCATAGGAAAGATGGGGTTCAGTATCCACACTACTTTAAATTGTTAGCTAGTTACATTACTTAAAAATACACATTCATTATAGTATTTTCTATATCAAAAATATACACAAGAGCACAGTCAGAACTACTAACTTTTACTAAAGCTATCTTAGTACTTGCATCAGAACAAGTAGTTTAGCATTTTGGGGTTCTTAATTTAAACACTGAACCTGATCCTTTTAATTCACTGAAAATCTATTAACACCCTAGTTCAGTGACATGCAACTGTGTTAAAAACTAAGCAATGTCATAACTTGAAAAAAAACAGAACTCCAAAAAAACCAAAACCTCACTTTTTTTTCTTAAATACATTAACTCCTTAAACATATCTTGTTCAAGGCCTTCTCCCCCTTCAATCTTATAACAGGAGAAAACCCATAATACATTGATTCCTCTTAAAGGAAGAAAAACAAGAACTGACAAACCAACTAAGCTAGTGAAACAATACTGATGTCAAGCAGCAGAGGGCAGTCATTAGTTTAAAAATAAAGCCAACGTCTACCGTTTAGTGCCATCTGTTTTTTCCTAACAATATGGAAAACACAAAAAGCCAACACCACCAGAAAAAAGGGAAAACAATTAGGAAATGTGGTAGGGACCCAGTGCCCCAAACAAAATTTAGATAAAAAAACCCCAGATTCTTGTGAACATTTAACACTTCAATTTTTTTAACATTATATTGGTGACAATGATTTGATTTGTAAGGGGCCCTGACCAGCTTTAAACCTAACAGCTAAAATAACATACCTTTCTTTTCATGGCCAGTGATTGTGGTTTTGTCAGTCGGGGAGGTGAACTTGGATGATTCTCCTCCCCTTCATCATCCTCGCTGCTTTCTTTAGATTGCTCTGTGGATTGCCCTCGATCCCCCACCACTGCCACACTCTCTGGAGATCGCAAATATTTATTTTTAGATTGCACTTTTGCAGGTGATTGCCTATTATTAGCTCTTGTGGAGAATATTTCTTGCTCTTCCTTTTCCCAGCAGCTAGCTTGCTCCATCAGACGCTCAGCCTGAAGGGTTGAGGTTAAAGTAATGGGTCATTGAAACAGTATTTATTTGGCCATATCCTTTAAGTTCAGCTAAAGAGTTACAGTAAGTCAACCCTTATTAGCACTGCTGGCTAAGCAAGCAACAACATTTCAGCTGAATCATCTAGTAGCTCCTTTACAACAGTTAGGATAACAAACCAAAGAAGATTGCATTTCATGGGATATTTAGCACTATTAATGATGCAGCGAATTGATTTAAGTCCTTTAGCACTACATTACATGCCCACTGACATGGATCACTTTGAGCAAGTTCATAAACACAAAGAATCGATTGACATTGCAGCCTTTGAGCTCTGCACCAAATTTGATCTGATTACATGCTCTCAGACTACTTTAAGAGTGATAAATACAGCTTCATGACAAGTGAGACATGTTTTAAGTTTTTCACATTAATTTGCTAAAACTTATCAGGTCTTACTGTGCAACTGCCAAATTTTTTGAATTTCAGTAAATTACTGCTCCTTAATTGTGTTAGACTATGTTAACAATGTATTGTTTACGACAGATTACTCCTGAAAAATCAAGGATTTAAAGAATATCTGCTATCATTACCTCTTTTTCAGCTTCTCTCTCTTCTTCAGAAACTGCAGCATTAGAAACTAACAGGGGAGTCCATCTCAAACTTTCAGGATCTACTTCATTGACACGTGGATTAGCTTTTAGTTTCTCCATATGACTCAAGATCAATTTTTCCCTTCTAACGATCACAAATCTACAATTCAATAAATATTTTCATTGTCAGAAAAAGGATCAAAATAAATCTACAATGATCTTTTAAAAAAGTTGCATCTTTTGAGGAATGACTTTGGTACAAATAAGTAAATGAGTATACAGCCAACCGCATATGGAGGCTAATGTACCTTAAATACAGGTAGGAGATTTAACACACAGCTGCTCACCTCATCTTCCGCCCCCTCCCTCCAAAACAAACAACCAAACAAACAAAAAAAACCACAACAATTTACAAGGCAAAGGACCAATATTATATGGGGAAGAAGAAAAGAAAAAACTTTTGCAACTGATTTTTTCAAGCCCACAAAAAAAGGGCTGAGTATGGACCCCCCTCTGTATAAGTGGCTCCTCCTTGCCAGAACTGCCTTCAGTTTTGATAGAAAACTGAAGAATAAATTGAATCCATGTAATGCCGTGATACTAAAATTGGACAAGTTAGCAACTAGTCTCCTGCCTGGAAGTAGGAACTGATTGTGCCAGAAACCCGGTTATTAATACAGGTATTCTTATATAAGAAACAAAGTGAAAGGAATAGTAAATGTAAAGTGGCTCTCCTTCCTGCCGGCAAAGAAGGGCATTGTAACATTTCAGAAGTGGAGAACATTGGAAAACAAATATTAGGGCACAAGATCTGTTAGAGTGCAGGGAATTGCCAAATCCATCTCCTTTCACCTAGTTATGAATTCTAAAACTTTAGATTGAGAAGTAGATGATGTCAATGACCTAGAAGAAGGTTTTACAAAAACACCAGAGGAATGACTTATACATTCACAGCAGTCCTTTTGGTTTTCCTGATTAGATCTATAAGAAAAGTGATGAAATCAAGGGGCAGATTGAGATCATAAGCACCGCAGGGCAACTACAAGGAGACAGTGTGCCCTAGTGCAGGAGTATCAAACATAAGGCTTACAGGCCAGATCTGAACCATGAAACATTATGATCTGGCCCATGGGTCTTGTACCTACCTCAAGGATTGCATTAATCATGCAGAGCTGGTCTGGCATGTGGGCTGGACCCAGCACCTCATGCAGCTCAGGGGGTATATCCAGGGTGTGTACTGCTTGTGGAGCCTCCAGCAGATCACTCTTAAGCAAGCGCTGGCTCTGGGGTTGGTCAAAAATAGGCCACACTGGAGTCAGTGCTCAGGGCCAGCATGCAGTGCACACTCCGTGCCAGACTCCCGCGGCACATGCAGTGCACACAGCTGGTCTTACTTCATGTGCTGCATGCAGCACATGCTGGCTCTGCCCCAGGGCTTGCTCTGTAAGGGGTACCAGCAGGCAGCAGGGGGCTTGCTCTGTATGTGGAACTGGCCCCAGAGCTGATATGCGGGATTGGCTTGGTGCAGGTACCACATGCAGCCCGTGCCCTGAACCTTCTATGCTGTGTACAGTGCTTGTGGCACTGGGTCCAGTCCAGGCACTGAATGCAGTAAAACCCCAAAGAGGGGCCAGCATGTGCTGCTTGTTGGGCTGGACTGGTCACAAGCTGCACAAGGTTAATCAATTCAAGAAAGTGCAAAGACAAGAAAATCTGAAGAAGTAGCTTCTGAGAGTAACTGTAGGCCAAAAATAGGATTGGGACTAGGCTGCAGAAGTTCCATCTTAAAACAGTGAAATTGAGAGGAAGTACGGACAATGTATCACAAACTGCTCCTTAAGACATCAGCACAGAGAGGCAGGATGAATGTATTAAGGAGCAAAAACAGGCTCTAGACTCAAATACTTAAGGCATGCCCACACCCAAACTGGAATGTTCATAAGGATGATCCCCCAGTAACTTTCCAACTTCCATTAACAAATCTCTTGAAAGCATTCACGGTCTCGGTCTACAGTGAGCGAGTGTGACACCTTTTTATAAAGGCAAACCCCCAAAAACCAAGAAAGCAATACAGTTAGGAAGAAGGATCCTGGTGGATTTATTGTATCATATTAAACCACTGTTATTTAAAAAAGAAAAAGAAGAGTTGACTAGTTTAATTTGTCAGTGTCCTTCTAAGACAACTTAAAGATGTAAAGATATGAGCATAAAGTAGCACTGTTCCCCACTATAAATAAAAACTACACTGAAGATGTTAGGTTTTTTCCCATATCGAAAAATGTACTTCAATCAAGTATCATATAATATCCTTTTTTAATATATATATTATCTTTTTTTTGTTCTCAAGTGCCAAAAGCTTTACTGACCTATCTTCTCTCTTGTCTATCATGCTGTGCTGCTGAAGGGTGGTGGCAATATCATGTGGACACATTCCAGTAGCTCGACTCATTCCTTTGATGCTGATTTGTTTTTCATGGTGGCAATTAAGGTATTCTAATATGACACTTTTCCAGTAGGCCAAGTAGGAGAGACGACCCAGGTCAGACAGTGGTTTTTCAGGGGATCCTGCTTGTCCTTCCCTTCTAGAGAGTAAATAACCTAGAGAGAAGAGAAAACAATATTTTGTAGAAATACTGTGCCTTGAAAATTTAGGATATATCCTTTTAGGAGAGATAATGTGCAACAGAAATGTCAAAGTGACCAAATGCTCTCTATAAAAGCAAAATTAAACATTATGTTTTAAGAATGTATAAGTCTAGCTTTCTTTCCTGACAACTATTTTGTGAGGCTTCCCCCCACCTCTCCTTTGTCCGAACTTCATATACAAGAGGAGGAATCTGCTTTCCAAACCTGCATTAAAAATGCCTTTAATCATGTTTGCAAAAAGTTAAGTTTCAGGTCAGCAATTCCAAACATATATACTGTCACTTAGAATTTTCAACAACCTCTGCCCCCTATTTTTTAAATTCAAATACAAAACAAAGTACAAAAGTGTGACACTTGATAAGCTACAAAAGCCCATGCTTTAAGGAGACCAAAGCAGTAGCCAGTAAGTCAAAGCATCCACTTGGTCCCAATCACAACAGTATGGAAGCATTATCAATTGGGAACCGCTGTTTTTTTTGTTTTTGTTTTTTTATAAATACTGCAAGTCAGAAGCTTACACTAAGAACTTAAGATGGAACTGATATGGGTAATAGAAATCAAGTACATTTTCTCTGTAATGGCCCACTGACAGCAGTTATGAGTCACCTTAACTGGAATGAGACTAACTTTTGAATTCACCTGAATTTGTGAGAAGTGTTTTTAAAAATAGTATTTACATTAAACCACATCTATGAACATTCAGTTAGCTCCACTTTTATATCTTCTGCAGCAATTAGAACATGTTGATGTATAATAAAATATTTCTAGCCAAAAACCTCTCCCCTACCATACACTGTACAAGATTTAACCACCCTCCTCCACTTGAAAAGGCTCTAAATTACAAAAGAGAAAGAACCTGCTTGAAAATAATGAAAAAAATCTGGTAGCTATTATTGTAATTAAAAACTACTTAGAGGGCACAGAAAAGATATAAAGTAATAATGTCTACCTTTCTCTGATTAAATAGCTGTACTCTCACAAATACTATCCAACTGCACAGCTACAAACAGTAAGTAACCATGCTTAAAAACTTGCTCAGTGACATAACTGGACCCCACCAACATATTTGATTTTTTCTCCTACAGATACCTTTCTTACATGTCCTGATGCTTTAAATCTCAGAAGTGAGTCAAAATTCCATTTTTAAAAATTTTCAAACTCTCTGAAAACACACGTAACAACAAAAGCAGTACTTTACTGATCCTGATCCATTCCCCCGTAACAACAAAAGCAGCACTTTCTTACTACCTTACTGATCCTGATCCATTCCTTGACACCCAATGCACACATTGTTAATCATAATGGATTTGGCTATATAGTAAAGACAGCTAGTTAACATCTTCCTTCATAAAGCAAAGTCATTCTTATGAAACAGTTTTCTTGCCTTTCTTCAAGCTTTGGTGTATACAAAATGAGTATCTTAGTCTGTTTTCCTTCTGCTACAAGACTTATCAAGTGTGTATCTCCCAATTTGGAAAAAATATATGTACATTGACTCCAATCTTGCTTCTTGCCTGCAATTACCAATAACACAGAAAGGCAGGTATGTTGTTACACCCAAGATGATCACTAATGTAAGTGCTACTGCATATCACATCCATACCTACCATTTCATTAAAAAGATTTATAATAAAAAGTGTATTGGTACATTATGAGGAACATCACCCACACCAAATGTGAAGTCTGCC